CAGAGATTCCCCCAGCAGCACGAAGCACCAAAGAAGCCTCCAGCCCTGCTCTTCCCATGTCCTGCCTCTGCTGCTCTCCCTCTGCTTGCATCATGGAAACAAATCTCTCCTCCGCCCATTCTCTGGCACAGCCCCATGCAGCCACTCGCTGGCTCCACTTCTCCCCTGCTCTCTTCCTTCTCTTGATGCTGCATCCCTGCAAGGAGGAGAGCAGTGATGGAGCTTCCACCTCTTCCTCCTTCTTTCCTTGTCATCCGCCAGCGAGAACCGATTAAAGCAGCTGAAGCTCAGCCCTTCCCTGCTTCCCGTTTAATTTCAGCCCCCTGGCAAGAAAGGACATGATAAAATGTGAGATTAAATGCCTAATACCAAGGATTTGGGATTACTGAGGCTGGATGCTTCGAGGGAGAGACGTCTCGGTTATAGGATGGTTTCTGCTGGCTGCTCCTTCCCATGCCTCCTCTTCTTGCTCTGCTCCTAAGAGCTGTATGGTTGATGGATGTGCTGTGGAAAGGATGGGCTCCCACATTCCTGCCCCAGAGTGCACAGGGATGAGGTTTCTGCGTTTGTAGGTAGCAGCATCAAACGATCCCTACCTCAACCCAAGAATAAATCACCCTGAAATCCCACTGCTCCATATTCGGTCCTGGAGGATTTCAGGCTCCGATGGCTGTGAAGTTGCTGCTGATTTATTAATGGCCACTTCCCACACATTAGCTCCAACAGCTCCATCCTCGTGCAGCAGCACGCCCCGCTCCCTGCCCACCATCTGCTGCCAAGGTCAGGCATGGGGAGATGCCGGAGCCCAACTGTTTCCTGGAAATAGGTTTCTAGATTTCCATCCCCACTACTGGCCCTTTGGAACAGCAGAAGGACACCAGGAGCTGTTTGTGTCTTTTCCATGCGCTTTTGCCCAATTCCTGCCCGACCCTGGGGCCACAACTCCCTGCCTGTGCCCTGGAATGTTGTGTAGGGACATCGGAGAGATGCTGAGATGTGGCCGATGGGTCGAGGAGGGGATAAAGGCAGGGTGAGCACTGAGACACAGCTCAGCATCCTCTGACCTCACTGCGACAACAACTGCAGAGCACAGGAGGCGGCGGTGCAGCTTTGGGGTCCCCTGCAGCGCTGGGCAGCTCTCTGCATCCTCCCTGCTGTGCTGCACCCATCCCAGCTGCCAACACAGCAGAGCCGAGGCCGACCCTGCGGCGTCTGAGGGAGGAGGAGACGAATGGAAATGACAATTGTCTTCCCACAACGGCTGCGTGGAGCTGGAGCAGTTATGGCTCGTTTCTAAATGAAGCGGCAATCTCCGAATATTGCCTTTCTGTGAAATATTCCATCCCAGCTTCAGCTGAAGCACTTTGCTTCGGCTTTTATTTTCCTTACCTCCACATTAGCAAGCGCTAATGCTTGGTAATTTAGAACATAACCTAAATGCCAAACCAAAACGTTCTGATGAGTTTGCTGAGAAGTTGGGCGCTTCTCCGAAACCTCCATCTGCCCCCATGTGCACTTTGGGATGGAGAGGGGCTGGGGATGATTTTCTCTGCGTTGTTCCCTCCTACACCGGGAGCTGTGCCCGCATCCCATGTGAGCCAGCAGCCAAAGCGATGCACAGCCCCAATGCTGGGACAGCAGGCATGTAAATGCAACCACTGTGTTCTCCCTCATAAATAATTCCAGCACAGCACCTGGCCGCGCTCTTGCGAACCTTTAGCTGCGTAAAGCTCAGCAGAACCACGCTGTGCCTGAAGTTGTTTGGGTGTTTGGGAGGAAGGAAACCATTCCCAGAGCTGTGCATGGGATGGAGTGCTGCAATGGGCAGCATTGCTTTACATGGCAGTGCAGCAGGGAGCCCATAAATCAGCACTGTGTGGTACCACTGGGGGTGAGAACACAGGGCAGCGTGGGGCAACGTTGGCAAAACAGTGTTGTAAATCACAGGGAGTTGAGGCCTGGAGTTAAAGCTTGGGAAGGCATTGAATTGGCTCTGATTGTTTTGTAAATTTGGTGGACTTTTTTAACCTTCAAAGATACACCAATTTTCTTCTATGTGAAACGATGGCATTTCCAGGGCTCAGATCTTTGGCCTTTTCCAAGTTCTTGCTGAAAAATTGGAGGTAATTTGTTTTCCAGAGACACAGAGATAACGAGACTGTATTTGCAGAGCACAGGGTAGGGGTTTGTGTGCCTGTTTGCATTTGCAGCCACCAGAATGGCTGTAACCCCCATATAAATGGAGCCACCTCTGTAGCTGATGGTGCAGTTCTTATCCCCGTGCACTGGGAATCCAGCACTGTGTTTGCAGGTGTGTACCACAGAATACATCTGGAAGGGCTTTGGGAAAGCCCAGGTTCCTTCCTCTGCCTTGGAGTTGCTCCCAGTGCCTTCCCCAGGTCTCCCTACAATCACAGAATCCCACCCTGGTAGCAGAAGGGAGTCTGGATTCTCCCCCAGGCTTCCAGCCATGGAATTCCCTGCCTCCCCCCAAAATGTGGCATGCAGATCCACAGGCAGTGCTGCAGCAGTGAGTACTGCCCATCACCAGCCATGTTCTGCTCTTTGCAGCCAACCAGCAGGGAGTGCATCTCTCTGTGCCTCAGTTTCCCTGTTGCTCAATGTGTCCACATTGTGCTCAGTGCATCCTCGTGCCTCCAAGCCTGGCCTTGGCCATGGGATGGGTGCTGCTGTGCTGTGCAGAGGTGCTGTCCCCATCCCACTCCATCCCACCCCATCCCATCCCATCCCATCCCACCCCATCCCACCCCACCCCATCCCACCCCATCCCATCCCATCCCATTGCTCCCATCCAGGGAGCAATGAACAGCCCCAGTTCCTCTCTCCCCTCTTTGCTCTCAGGGAGGGCTCTGCAGCCTCAGTGCTCGGTGCCAGATCCCTCTCCAACAGCTGTATGTTCTCCAGCATGAGTCATCCCACCCTGAGCTCTCAGCCTCTCCATAACAACATTCCTTCTCTCTGATCTAAGATCCTGGCTGTGATCAGTCTCTGTCTCCTTCTCCTTCCTCCGGCCATTCGGTTCCTGTGCCCAACTGAGGCAGCACAGAGCCAGGATGCTGTGCCAGGACCACCAGCCCCCAGCACCTGAAAAAAGGCTGCAGTTCCCTTCCCCATTCTCCTATATCAAGAGCGAGGTGCCCGATTACCACGAGATCTAGGTTTTATTTCCCCTCTCAGACAGTAACATTGATTCACTTTTCTTATTGTCTTTGTGCTGTTCCTCCTCGTTTCTGTAGCAGTGCTCCAAGCTCTGGTCCTGCTCATCTCCCATTCCACAGTGAACTCCTCCCTGAGATCCTTCTTCTCTATTCCTGGTGCCCCTTTGCCCCCTCTGCATTACTTTTTCCTCTTCTCTCCACTCCTACGGGTGTTGTCTCACTTTCAGTGAGAAGGAGGAGGTGTTGGGACAAGGGAAACACCTCCCAATGTCCTCTGTGCCTGCTTCCCCCATCCTCGGTCATGTTCATGGTGGCAATGACACTTGGGGTGTCAGGAGGTGATCTGGATTTGGAATATTGCAATGGAGCAGGCTCCAGTGCTCCAGTTGGGAAGGATGGAGCTCAGTGCCTCTCTGTCAGCTCATGCTCCTGGAGCTGAGCTCTCATTGCTTCCAGCTCCAGTTCCTTGGGTGGCTCCACCTGGCAGCTGAGGATGGAAGTCAAATTTTGCTCAAAAGCATTTAATTTCTCCTGGATCAAGGAGAGCCCGGATATTTTCCTGTGATGGGAAAGGGAGAACAGGCTGTAATCCTCCCTGGGATGCTGCAGAAGTGGGGTGCAGGATGAGCTCCCCAGCTCAGTGGGACACCTGTGAACTTGCAGCTGCAGCCGCATCCCAGCCCTCCCTGCTCCAGTTTCTCAGGTGCTGCTTCACCTGAGCATCACAGCAGGGCTGGGAAGGACATCAGCAGCCCTGCAGCACAGCCCAGACTGTGGGTTCCCTTTCTTTGTCTCTGAGTCCCTGGGTGATGTTCCTCTGCAGGAGATGGGTGCACATCCTGAACTCTAAAACCTTTTGCTGGGCAATGCAATAAAACCACGTGGATGCAGTTTGCAGTTGTTCACAGGCCGTGGGATGCTGCTGGTGGCTCAAAGTCACGCAGGGAACTGTGGAACCGTGTTTTGTGGACTAAGCAGGGATCTCATTTGATGCTGTTAGTTTTATCCCAACCGTGGTGAAGAAGGGGAGTGCGAGTTGGGTACGTTTGCATTAAACGCTGACAAATGCAAATGGCACCGGAGCAGAAGGGAGCTGAATCTCTGTGGCACTGGTTGTGTGCGGTGTTGGTGTGTGTGAGTGACATCGGGTGCGTGGCTTCAAGCAGTGCCTGCAGGGGGTGGCTGGAAAGTGAACTTCGAGCGGTGCTTTTATTCCAACAGATGCGCTCCGCAACTGCGTGGTTGGAAGGGAGAAAGCAAAGCGTGAAGCACAGGGTCCAGCTGCTGTAGACCCAATGCCCGGCGCAGGCAGACCAGACAGGGCCGGGACGTTGTGCATCTGCTGGGATGCGAGCAGGACGAGGGGCTCCTTCCCCGGGCTCGCTCTTCTTTGGCTCCCATCCTGCGGACCTGGGGTCCGCGCTGCTGAACGGGGGTCGAGAAATCCCTTCTGTGCCGCAACGGCGCTGCGCGAAGCGGCCGCAACTTTTCGTTCCCCTCCGGCCGGGTCGGAGCACGGCTTCTTCTCGCTCTTCCCTCCGCCCTCCTCCTCCTCCTCCTCCTCCTCCCTGGCGATGCTCCGGGCCCCGCGCTCCGCCTCCCCGCGGGGCCGCGGGCGGAGGGCGGGGAGGGGAACCGGCGCCGGGCGGGACGCGCTGCCGCCCCGAGCCGAGCCGAGCCGAGCCGGAGCGAAGGGAGGCGCGCCGCTCCGCAGCCCCTCCATGGCCCCGACCTCCAGAGCTCGGCGGCCCGGGGGAAGCGGCCCCGGCGGGAGGCGACCGCCGGTGAGTGCGGGGATCGGAGCGGGACGGGAGCGGAGCGGATCCGGAGATGGGAGGGAGAGCGGGGTCGGGGCAGCGCTGCGCGCTCGGACTTAGGGACGGACATCAGCCCCGGGCTCGCGCTGCATCGTGCGCACACGCGGGGCTCCCACGGACACGCGTTTGCACGCACTCGTGTGCGTGTGTGCACGAAGGTCGGAGCCGGGAGCTTGGAGCGAAAGCAGATGCACGGCACACGCGTAGATCCACATGCGCTCATCTACATGCACCTATTCACGTGCACGCCGCTCACGCTTGCACATCCACGCGTGTGCACACATCCACAGGCACACAGCCGTGCACAGCCGGGATCCAAGACCAGGGAAGGATCGGTGCTGGTGTAGCCAAACTGCAGTACTTTTTGCAGCCTCTCCTCGCTGAGGGTTGCCCCGAGGAGTGGTCGCAGAGCAAATACACAGGAATTGATTTAGGCACTCCGGAGAGGAGCCACGGGTGGAAATGAACCGTGGATCTCCTGGTGGTGAGGATCAGGAGGGCCTTTCTGCAGCAGCAGCGCAGTGTGGACCCACACCTCTGCTCCCAAGTAGGTTTGAGTTCCTGCTCATGAGCAGAAGCTTTGCATTCGTGGCCGCAGGGCAGAGCAAAGTAAAGCAGGGCACAGAGCGGAGAAGATGTGAGCGTTCAGATGCTGGAGGGAAGAGTGATCCCAGCTGGGAATACATTGGGAACGCCGACTGCCAGCGCTGCTCTGCGTGTCAGGGATCCCTGGGATGTGTCCTGCCGGACCCCTCACAGTGTGCCTGAGAGCACTGAGCTCCTGGCAGCCCCCGCATCCCTCCCCGCCTCCACTTTGGCAGGGACTGTTGGAGGAACAAAAGGAAAGGAGCCAAATTCTGAGTTTGAATTTGAATTTGTCCGTGTGAGACGCAGAGCTGGGGGATTCCCTTCCTCTTCTCTGGGCTGATGTGCGAGGCGCCTGGCTGCCGTCCCTTCTCCTGCACCCTGCTACCCTGCACTGCTTCACACAGGCAGGAATTCTCCCAGGAAACCCCCGAGCTCCCCACGCCTCCTCCCCCTCCAAGGTAGCGAAAAGCTGACATTAGAAATCCGTTCCCCGTTTTAAATTTAGACGCCTGCGTGATCTCGAATTTGGATTTACTAATTATTCGCATCTGGTTCCTATCAAAAAGTTGAGCAATGCAGATGTCCTGATTTCAGCATCGGCTCGGAGGGGTCGCATGGAATTTGCCCTTCGTTGCCTCGTTACACAACGGGGCTGAGTCCCTTCCCAGGCCTGCCCTGAGCACGGTGCCCATCCACCCCGCAGCATCGCCTCGCTCCGGTTGGCTGCCGCTCATTTCCCCGCTGTGGAGATCAGTCTAATTAGCAGAGTAAATCTGGGTAAGGCGAGCTCTGGTAATTAGTGATCAGTGGGATGTTTCCACGCACTTTCTTCGCCTTGAGGGTAAGGAGAGATGGAGCAGATGGCCCCGTTTTGGGAGCAGGGAGGGAAGTCGAGGTGAAGGGGTTGGGATGGGTAAGAGGACAGAGCTGTGTGTCTGCTCACTGCCATCCCATGTTCTGTTTCCAAGTGGCATTGGTGACCACAATGCCTGCAGGGACACTGGGAACCGATGAACTGTCACCTCTGGGCCATGGGCAGAGGGGGAATGGCCACGTCTGGGGGCTGTGAGTCCTGACAGCACCTCAGGAGGTCACCTAAAGGTGGGACCCCAGCCCAGGGCTGGAGCTGGGACCTTCACTCCAAGCTGTGATTATCACAGAAAGCTTCCGCGGGGAAGCTTAATTAATGATGATTGATTAATGGGTGGCCCCAGCAACAGCTGGAGATGGGGAGCTGGATTTTGTCACCGTGCTGGGAACGTGTGGGCAGGGTGTAGAGATTTACTCACAGGAGGGGGACTTCGTGCTGGTGGGATGGTGAGTGGGGCTGGGGGGTGAGGAGGGATTTCTTCTGCTCAGAGAGCCCCAGAAAGATGCAGGGCTGCTTTTGATCTTTTTGCTGCTGTCTGGACACCTGTGTAGCTAAGGAGAGAGATTTGGAGGAAGAAGAACAGGGAAGTGGGAGGGATGTGGCTGTGGGGTGTAGCCAGGCTGGGAGCGAGTTCATCAAACCAGGACTGCTGGAATACAAAAAGACAGTTGGCAAATGGGAGCAGAAGAGCTGGGGTGCTTTGCTGGAGAGCAGCTCTGCCTCGAGACAGCTGGAGGTGAGGAACCAGCAGAGGCTGGGGCCCTGCAGTGCTCTGGGACCTGCAGGTGCTGCTCAGGCACAGCAGCCACGACGAGGGCTGTCAATGGGAGCTGGGAGGGAGGTGAGGATGGGAGGAGGGCAGATCCCAGCGCTGGGGTCAAGGTTATGCTGATGTGCGTTGTTTTTAACCATCGTTTCTCAGAGCAGATTGCTCTCTCCTCACTTCCACTGCTGGGTGGGAAGCCCCTGGGCTGTGCTGTGCATCCCTGCACCCATGGGTCTGTGCCGCCCTGCTGCCCCTTTCTGCACAGAGGGCCTTTGAGGGGAGCTCAGCCTCATCAGGCTTTGGGACCACAGGAGCTGAGAAGTGATCTGAGCTGTTTTCATTGCTGCACGTGGCCAGCAGTGCAGCGCAGGCTCTGGGAGGATGGCCCTGCTGTGCCCACAGAGGATGCTCAGGGTCCTGGGGAGGCTGAGAGCGGTGGCAAACTCTCCCTGCAGTCATTGGGGTGTGTTGGAGATCTCATCCATCCCAGCAGCCTTTAAATGGGCTTTGCTGGGTGATGGGGTGATGGGTTTCAACATCGGCTCCTGCAAATCAGGAAAGCAGCATTAAAGTTGCAGAAGTCAGGAGTTGGAAGTGCCACAGTGTTTCTCAAAAAGAAATGGGAAAATGATGCATTTTCGGTTTGTTGGTGATTTCCTGAGCTTCTGCTCCCACCTGGGCCCCTTCCATCCCTCTTCATGCCCATAGGGAACACCTGGGCTGTGCCTGCCAGCCTCCAGGAAGGACCACGGAGAAAGGACAGATGCGATGCTTGGCAGATCCTGATGTCTCCCACCTGCAAAAGGCAGCAGCATCTCTCCTCCCCGTGAAGGCACAGGTTGTACCTTCCCCATTTGCTGAGGGCTCGTGGTGCGTTCCCAGGAGCTGGGGGTGATGCTGATTGTATGCACACTGCCATCCCCTTTTGCACGCTCCTTGTCCAGAGGGAGGTTTGAGGACTAAATATGACTCTTGATAGACTGTGGCATGCTGCAAATTCACACGGACAGCATCGTCTCAGGGCAGAGCATCCTGGGGCACCCAGGTCCTCCAGGGGCCGTCCCTTATTGTCTGTGCGTCGGATGCACTGCAGTTGGGTGCCCAATTTTCAAAGCATCTCCACGCAAAGGAGGGAGCAGAGGATCGGGGTGGGAGGACGGCGATGCGCCTTCACGGTGAGGTGGATTAGAAAAAGATTTGCGTTTATTTTCACGACAGCCTCGTTGCTGGGATTGGAAGCTTAACTTCGAACCTGGCAGCGCTCAGCGACGATGCTAAAGGCATTTACATTTCTATACCTCTCCCCGAGGAAACCGGAGCCCTCAGCACCAGGCAGGTTTGGCCAAGGAATGGGATGAGGTGGCAGGGAGTGGGGCTGCCCCGCATCCCCAGGCTGTGCTCCCCCCAGCGGTGCCACCACGACCCCCATTGCTGCACCCAAACTTTGCCTGGCTCAGCTGCCTCCGCTGCATTGACACGACTGCGGGCGCGTCGGTGTCTGCCAGCTCCTGAATTTGATGGCAAGGCTGAATTTTTATGTTCCCCCTCCACATATCCCCCTCCCACCCCCCTCTTTGAGCTTATATAACCTTGGGGATTCTATTAATATAAGTAATGGTTTTGAACTCTGGGAACAACCATCTCCAGCGATGCCGCAACTTCTGGATGCGGGCAGCTGTTGGGTGGCACAGAGATAAAGGGCAGCGGCTCCAGGGGGGGAGGCAGAGGGATAAACGGGGGCTTCCAACGAGGAGCCCGCCTCCAGGGATTGGGCAGCACCCGGAGCAGGCTGTGATTGTGCCTCGTTGTGTGCCAGGCATCCGCCAGCCCGTGCTTTGGCTGACAGCCATTTCCAATGGGAAATCGTGGGAAGAGCATCCCGGCCCCACGGTGGTACCTTAAAGGGATGCAAGGGGAGGGGAGTGGGGGGTGGTAAGGGAGATAGTGAAGGAATTTGGTATAAAGAGCTCAGTGCCAAAATTAGGAGCTGTTTCTCGGCCATGGCAGGAGCTGGGCAGGGACCTGCAGCTTTTTGCCTGGCTGTGGGTTTAGGGGTTTTTTTTTGCTGTCGTTTGATCCCTAAGATGCCTGTGAGGTGTTTAAAGAGTTTAAGGTAACATTTGAGAGGTCGAATTTAGGACTGTAAGCAACAAAACTCAGGAGGGAACCTAAGCAAGGGTGCTCAGAGCTGCAAGAAACACCGCTCACTTTTCCTTTTGGGTGACCATTGCATTTGGGCTCCTCCATAGTGTCTGTTTTGCTTTCTGCCTCGTGACGTGGGATTACCAGCTGGTTCCAAAGAAACACTGAGATCTCACTCAGCTGTCAGCTGTAGGTTGGCTTTGGTTTTTTGTTGTTTTGTTTTGTTTGGGGCTTTTTTTTCCCCCCTTTAAATCTCTCCCATTGAAATGGTCACAGCTTGACAGCCTCGTGCTGGGAACGCGCTGTCATCCTGAAACTCATATCTTTAATTCCTTCCTCGGGATGCTAATCGCACCTTAAGATGATTAAGGCTGGAAAAAGCCCTCGTGTTTTGTTTTTCTCCTCCCGTTGGTGATGCTGTTTGCTGGCTCTTGCCACTTCATTCATCTCAGGGAGTAAATGAGACTGCCCACCTCCCCCCCCTGCCCTGTGCCACTGTGTTCCCAATCAGTTTTACTTTTGGCTTCTCATCACGGTGCTGTCAGGCTGCTTTGTGTGATGCACAGCTTCCCTCTGCTGCTGTGTCACCTTTGGAGCGCATTTGGAGTTCTGACAGCTTGTTGAAAGCCATTCTACAGCCTCCCGTCTCCGTGCCTCAGTTTCCCCATGAATAAAGAGCCCCTTGCTCTCCGTGTCACCAGGCAGAGCTGCCTGCTGCCACCTGGTTGCAGGAGACACGGGTGGCTCATTTTCTCTCATCTGTGTGCTGGTGCAGCACGGGACGCAGCAGGATCGTGGCTGCCCTGCACAGCTTGGGCTTTGTAGGGCTTTGGTGGCTCAGAAGGAGCCCTCAGCTTTTCTACCACCACCAAGATCCTGAGCAGGGAGGGAGAAAGAAGCAGAGGAAAGCGGGCAGTGAGATAGGAGATCAGAACTGCTGGACTCTGGCTTGGCACAGCCTGCGGGCTGAGCGTCCCTGCGGTCCCCATCCTCCTGGTGTCCCCATGCTCCCAATGTCCCTTTTCTTCTCATGTTCCCAACACCCCTGTTGTCTCTGGTCCCCAGGTTCTCAGCATCCCCATGCTGCCAGTGTCCTTTTGGTCCCAACGTCCTTATGATCCTCGTGTTCTCACCATCCCCGTCCTCCCAGTGTGGTCCCACTGTCCTCGCATCCCCTCCATCCCACACACCCGGACCCCCAGATCACCACGTGAAGCTCGTAACACCTTTCTCCCTGCAGGAAGAGCAGCCAAGGCATCGACGATGACTGCCGAGAGCACCGAACCCAATGGCCCCATGCGGGAGCCGACGGTGGGGGGCACAAAGCCGTCAGCCCCCCCTGCCCCACCGCGGCGCCGAGGCCGAAGGCTGCGACGGAAGTCACTGCCAGAGGTGGCGGTGAAGGGACAGCTTCGCATGCGCTCACCGTCGGGAGCCTTCGTCATGGTGGGCATCTCGGTGGTCTTGGTAGGCATGACCATTGCCGTGGTGGGCTACTGGCCCCACCGGGGGCATGGAGGTGCTGGGGCTGGAGCGAGGAACGCCAGCACGGCTGGGGACATGAGGAGGGAGGTGGTTGCTGGGCGTCCCGCGCCCCACAATGAGAAGCTGAAGCTGATCGGCCCTGTCATCATGGGCATCGGGCTCTTCATCTTCATCTGTGCCAACACCATGCTCTACGAGAACAGGGACATGGAGACCCGCATGCTGATGCAGAAAGGCCTCTACTGCATGGCCACGGATCTCCCCAAGGAGACCAGCCCCAAGGATGAGGACACCCGGCTGGTACCCAAAGCCAGCCCTGAGTGCTTGGAGGGCTGCTATGAAGTGGACCTGTCGTTGAGCAGCAAGTGGGCTGATGGCTTTGGCCCCAACAGGCTGCAGACCACAGCTGAGCTCATGCAGTGCCCGGGGGCATCACCAGCAGCCTCCCTCCTCAGCCTCCACTCGGAGGCAAACCTTGGGCTCTCGGCCACCGTCGGGGCCTTGGCGTTGCCCATCATCAAGCTCAACAACCGCTTGCTGGATGCCGCCTCACGGGCGGCCAACGGGATGACAGAGGGAGCCCAGCTCCCCGCCGAAGGCCCGGCGCCCTCCTGTGCCCTGCTGTCCCCCAGCGGCGGCAGCATCGCAGCTCGGGGCCTGGAGAACCACGGCGGCCACGTCGTCATCAACGTGGAGGACGGTGGCCCCATGGTGCATGCGGGCCCCGACGCTCAGCCCCACAACCCTGGCCACTCCAAGTCCCTGGACCTGGGCCGGCCGGGGGTGCTGCTGGTGGCTCCCATCAAGGACCGTAAAAACCGGAGTTGGCCCCGGCTCGATCACGTCAACGCGGTGGCTTATGCCAAACTGGAGAACTGGGGGGAGTCCTTGGACCGGCTACTGGAGACCAACGGGACACCACACCATGCTGAGCCCCGGCCCAGCTCCTGGGTGGTGGGCATGGAGGGGGGCTCGCGGGTCTGACGGCCCCGGGGTTGAGGGTTTGAAGCAGACTTTTGATGCTGAGAGATCCCCGAGCCTGGGGAGGGCTCCCGGGTTGGGACCTTTGCTCCTCCTCGCCTGCCTCCTCTTCCTCACCACCTTCCCTGGGATGCTCTCAGTCTTACAAAGCCCTTCTGCTGGCAGCCTTCCTGGAGGAGCCCTCACTTGTAGACCCGCGGTGGACCATGGCATGGGGTCGGGGTGAGCAAAGCACAGATGGGTCCCTTTGCCCAACCCAAAGGGAATCTTGCTTGAGCAGAGCCTGACAGGGCCATTAAATGTTACCTTGATGCCACGCAGTGCTCCCTAGTCTCATAGGGTGGGAGTGGGGCATCCCCATCACTCTGGGCTCTGGGCAGTGTGGGAAAGCGTGTGAGAAAGGTGGACAGGGGGAGCTTTTCCTGCACAAACATCCCCACTTCACTGGAGCCGATCACCAGCCCCACCAAACCTCTGCTTTCCCTGAAATTGCCTCAAACTTGGGTACAGACCCATCTCATCCCTTGTTCCTTCAGCCTCTGTGCTCAGAGGACTCGGTTTCCCATAGGGAATGCCAGAGGTGTTCATTGCGCCGGTCCTGTGGGGTTTGTGCCATACGGGGTCCAACTGCCTGCAATGGGGCTCAGCTCCTTCACAGCCCCTCTGCGCAGGTATGGCAGCAGGAATGCTGTGTGCCCTGCTGCTGTGTGTGTGCAGAGAGGTGGTGAGCTCAGGGGGATGCAAAAGGAGCCCAGGGAGCTGCAGATGTTGGTGCTGCTGCCCGCTTCATGCTGTCTGGGCAGCTGCAAAGTTCAGGCAACAAAATGGAAAAATTCCTGGAGTGTGATTGTTTCCGAAGCTGGTTTGGGGGTGGAGATGATAGTTTTGTTTGGATGCAAGCAACAGGAGGATGCAGTGGGGGAGAGGAAGGGGCTGGCTTTGGTTTTATGGTGCTGCTGGCTGCTCTTGTGTTACTTGGTGCTGTTTGGCTGCAGATGGGAGCTGCTGAGGGGCATCACGTTGTTCCCATGAGGACAAACCAGAGAAGGTTGTTTTGCAGCACTGCGGTCCATGCCTGATCCTGCTGCTGCTCCAGTGCTCAGCAGGGCCCTCCCTCCCCAAATTCTTTCCAGCAGCAGCAGCTGGGGACACGTCCCCAAACCTCCCAGCTCCTCTGCAGGCTGCAGTGGATCCTCACTCAGAGCTGCTGCTCTTGCCAGCGACCCGGGAGGCACAGCAGCATGGCTTTGCTGCACGGGCTGGATCCCTGCCTCTCCTATCCCAAGAGCAAAGTTGTGGTGTGGGGCTGAGTGTCAGCTGCTGAAATATGTCTTTGCTGCGTGAAATGGTTTTGTTTTCTCTTTTGTTCCCATCCCCACGAAACAAGCACAGAGTTTTTTGGACCTTGGAAGCTGCAGGACAATGTCTTTTTTCAGCCCGAACCATTCTGCAGAACATTTTGACTTGGCAGCCATGTGCTCTGGCACAAACACACCACACTGTCACTGCCAAAGCCCCTTCTGTCCTCGAGCAGAGCTGTGCTGGTGCTGGGGACAGGGGGAGGGCAGGAGCTGCCATGGCTCACCAGCAGCTTGCATCTCCATCCTGATTAGCAATGGTGATGGCACACAGCACCAGGGCTGGGAATAGGCAGGTGAACGCCTACGAGGCTCAAAGCACTGATTTTAGAGCAGTCAGGGCTTCTTTTTCTTTCCCTCTTGGGAAATTTGGCATGGTATGTTTCTTCTCAGTGTCTGCTTCATGCTCTTTTGCCTCCACTTTGCTACAAAGCAGCCCAGCAAGCAGACAGGCTGCGGTTGGCTTCCTGCTTAACCTCCAGGTGATGCAGCACTCAGTGAGTGCAAAACCCAACCAGCCAAAAAGCCACCAAAGGGCTCCCGGGGCAGGAATGCACCCGGAGGCTATTTGAGATCAAAAGTAACTTCTTTGTGTGCACCCACACATCCCCCAGCTCTGCTGCTGCCCTGGGACACAGCGTTGGAAGCCTCCAGCCCCATCCCCATCACTGGGATGCAGGGCTTGGGGTGCAGGGCTGCCCCAGTGCCCCTCGTGCCTCCTGGGCAGGGAGAGGGGCTGTGGGTGCTGGGTGTCACAAGTGACAGCACTGACCCTGCCCACAGCAGCTACGTTCTGGCTCCCAGAATGGCATCAACAGCCTAAAAATATCCCCATAGGATGCAGATGGGAACGTTCTGCTCCAAGTGGGATCAGGAAAAGGGTGGGAATGGGGGAGCAGTGGCTTTGGCTCCTCTAAATGGATGGGAGCTGTGAGACACAGCCTGGGTGTGGGGCCTTCAGGAGGTGTGCTTTGGGATCAGTGGTTTTCCTTTGGGTTTGGTGGATTTCCTTTTTATTGGAATTCCTTCACATTTCCATGGTGTTTGTTTGCCTGTTTTTATCTCCCTTGCAGGCAGGCTCTGCACGGGGGGAGGGGGGAAACTGAGGCAGGGGTTAAAAGGATGCAGGGCCAACTCCTCACCTCACCAGCTGAACGTCGTGCCAAGTTTTGCTCCTTCTGCCCCATACTCGTGTTTCTGACCCTTCTCCACTTCCCTCTATGGCACAGGGCTGCAGGGACAGGGTTCTGCCTGGGTCGTGCACTGGGGACTTCAGCAGCCCTCCCCAAGCCCAGGGCAGGGTTATTTAAGGAGCGTTTGGGGCTCGCTGGAGCACACGGTGATCCTAATGGGGTTGGACAAACCTCAGAGCCCGGGGCAGCGCTGGCTCAGCGACCCGCTTTGCAGCTTCATCTTTGCGCTGCGTCGGTCGCACCGCGCTGAGGACCGATGGAAGAGGCAGCTCCAGCCGTTTCCCAACTATTTGTGGCTGATTTCTATGGCCCTCTTTTAAGTTCTGCCCGCAGCGGGTTGCAACTGAAAGCACGGAGGAGTTCAGGAGCCAATTGGCCCCCAGCCCCCCTGCAGCACCACCAAGCGCGCCGTGTCAGCACTGCTGTTGGTATTTCTGCTGCTCTTAAGGACGCTGTGGATGGGATGGATGCTTCCCTGCCAAACAGAAGCAGCTAAAAGCGGTGTCAGACAACATCTCTGCTCTGTTTGGTCACAGCCATCCCTGTTTGGCAGCGGTGGCTCTGCAGAAGCGCTCACCTGTTCATGGGATGCTGTGGGGGAAGCTGGGCGCTCAGGCTCTGCTGCGGGGATCCCATCCCAACCCGGGGCTGCAGAGGGCAAGGAGGGAACTGCAGGGAGCGGTGCTGGGAGAGAGCTGGCAAGGAAACGGCTTGGGAGGCAGGGATGTGGTTTTGTTTGAAAATTTATTGAAAAATGCAATACAAGAAGCAATACCAACACTTACATCTGTCTAAAGGCTACGGCAACTTTCCCTTTGATTTACTATGAAAGTCCAAAATAACAGCTCCCATCACTAGTCAATCTATAAAGATCTGCCAATAAGTCTCTATTTTTATAAAGAAGGGTGTAAACAGCTAGCCTAGACAATTCACCATTGCCTTAAAGACTTTACAAAGCTCCTTCATATCTCAGCTAACTTTTTTTGTGTGTTTTTTTACAAGTTTAATCTCTAAGGTCAGGGCACTACCACCTCTTCAGGCAATTGTACAATTAGGAAATCGGCAAACCACAGTTCTTTAAACCAGAAATCAGACAGGCCGTGGGTAACACCCCAGAAATTGCTGTTTGCTGACTGGAGCCAGGTTCAATGGATGAGCACGGGTCATGAGCTCCGCTCCTTCTATAAAAACATTCATTCATATATAAATAGCTTCCATATAATGTCTATTATACAATCAAGACAGTCTCTGGGTGAATTCGTGGAGTGGGAAGAGCTGGGAACATTCATAAAAATAGACCTTAGTTGCTTTGTCCCTGACACAGCGAGCTTTAACAACCTGGTGCAGGAAGGGGTGTGGGATGCACACCGGGGCTGCCAGCTGGAGCAGTGCTGCACAGAGCAATGCACAGAGCAATGCACAGAGCAATGCTGCACAGAGCAATGCACAGAGCAATGCACAGAGCAATGCACAGAGCAATGCACACAGCAATGCACACAGCAATGCTGCACAGAGCAATGCACAGAGCAATGCACAGAGCAATGCTGCACAGAGCAATGCACACAGCAATGCACACAGAGCAATGCACAGAGCAGTGCTGCACACAGCAATGCTGCACAGAGCAGTGCTGCCTGCTGCTGCCTTCAACCCCACAGGCAGGAGCTGCCTGGTGCCCAGCAGCACTTTGCTGCCCAAAGCCACCCCAGCAAGAGCTCTCACCATGGGGAGGAACTCTGTCTTGTCTGAAGCGCTCGAGGGAAGCGAGAGGTGAAAAGAGGGGAAGCGTGAGGATGAACAGCTTGAAAAGAACCACCTAAAATGCAGGAAGAAAAATAGAAAAAAAAAAAAAAATAGGAACAAAAAAAGAGCTATTCTATTCTGTGACCTCTTAGCATTGGCATTTGCAGCTGTGCTCGTGCACACTGGTGCAGCCTCTTGGGTAACGCCTCTCACGACTGCACGTCGCCCAGCCTTGCATGGTGCTCCCCTCAACTCTTGTGAGTGCTGAGTGCCTCTAAGTGCTCAATTCGCCACTGTAAAGCTCTGAAATTCTCTTAATGTGCACCCAGCTCCTGGCCGACAAGGCAGGAGCAAAGAACTCAGCTCCTGGAAAAGGGAAAGGGAGCAGAGATGCTGCGTTACGGAAGGGGGCTGCTCAGGTGGATGTAGGAAGGTGTGAGCTAATGGGCAGCACAGGATGCTCCAGGAGGGCAGGGAGCCCTGGAGCAGCCGGAGGGGAGGCTGCAGCTCAGCCATCCATGAGGCTCACAGCAACATCCAGCAGCCCCAGTGTTCTCAGCGTGGGCTCCGATCAATACTGACAGCTTAACGACACCTGAATGGGAGAAGTGACGCGGAGCCACAATGCAGTCTGAGGGCTGTTTGCTGTCCCCGCAGCCTCAGCTAACTCCAGTGACTTCAGAAACAAATCATTCAAGTTTAAAAGAGCAGAGAGCAGGGGGTTTTTATTGCCATTTTCCTCCATCCTTGACTGGGGAGCGGCAGCAGAGCACTCCACGCCTTCAGCTACTTATGTGCCACACTACACTAAATAAAAAATCATAGAAAATTGCATCTTCCAAGTCTTACTGCTCACAAGCGTTAGGCAGAGTATAAACAGCTTGATTTTTTCGTGTTTAAATGCTGGAAGGAGAAACCAGGGCATGGTGACAGCATCCCCATGGAGCTCAGCACTGGGAGCCAATGGAGGGACCAGCAGTGAGACCTGGATCACATCCACTGAGTGGGGATGGCCAAGGCTTTGGGAATGGCTGTGAGGGGGCTGGGGCTTCCACAAACAAACTTCACATTGTGTGCTTTTCTTTCTTTCTTTCTTTCTTTTTTTCTTTCTTTCTTTCTTTCTTTTTAATATATATTTTGAAGACATTTTCTACGTGGTCTGTAAGCTCAGCCCAAAGATGCAGATAAGAGCCCTGGTGTTTCGTTCCAGCAAGGCAGCCACGAAGGACAGATCCTTCCCCAGCATGCAGGAGGGGAGGCAGCACCCCCAGAGTGCTGCACTGCTTTCCACAATTGGCTTTATTGCAACCAGCAGTGTGACACCTCCCAAGGTTTCCTCTCCCAATGCAGCCTGCAGGCCTGGGGAAGGACTGGCCATAGGATTTTAAGTTAAATGAAAGCAGGATGCAACACCTTGCCCTGATATGTGGGTAACGTGTTCAGCTTTAAATAGCACCAGGAGGGGGGAAAAAAACAAAAACAACCCACAACAGGGGAAAAAAAAAACCTCATTTAAAAATTCAGAACACCAACAAGTGAAAACCTATGACACAGAAAAAAAAATCAGTTCTGTGAATGCTGCATACGACCATCTTAACAGCATCCAGAGTCCAAATGTACTAAATGCACACTTCTAAGGGCTTTTCAATTTAATGACATCTAGAAAACACAACCAGGCAGGGAGCACTCAGCAGGGATGCATAGAAGGAGGGGAATTATCTGCCACAGTCCTCTCAAAGCTCTGGAATTCACAGTATAAGTGAAGCAACTTCCAGTATTCCTTAAGCTAGCCACCCACGAGGATGTGTGCATGTGTTACACCTCACCACCCTCCTGCGTTCAGACACTGGGGGTCCAACACCCAAAGATGATGAAAGTCCAAAGGATGAGGGCTGGGTGGGCATGGGGGGGCTGGGATGGTGATCTGAGATTCCCAACCTGAATGGTTCTTTGCAGCTCACGGTGAAGGTAGAAGCCCTGCTCTGTGCCTGGGTGTTCTGCAGGTGTCTCACACTGCCTACAGCTACAAACAGAGGTAATTGATTGGAAATGCTGCACAGACTCAAGTCTGACCTTTTCAAGTGGCTCTTCTGGCAGAAAGACCCACTGCTTTCTGAAGGTGTGTACAAATCCTGCAGTCAGGATAAGCTCTGACGTGGCTGTACCTCCACGATGCCTATAGCCAGGCTGAGGGAATGAGACTTTAAAACAACAACAACAGCAACAACAACAACAAAACTACCAAGAAAAACCCACCAAGCAACCCTAAGAGCCCTGCGGGTTGTGTCTGAGCCTGCATCTGAAGAAGCTGTGAGAGGGAATGCAAAATTGAAAACCTGTAAAAATATTTAGTACAGTTAGAAATATGGCATACTGTTTGTCACTATATATATATATGTATATATATATATATATAAAAAACAACCAACAAACTATATCCAATAGGATCCAGTGCATTCTGGACAATCCCAAGTAAAATGCTGAAGCGTAAATCCTGCTAAGTGATATGAATGTTCAGTCTGTGAGGATAAAGTCGTGTAGCTCTGAGGTCTCTGTGCTCCAGGTAGTTGTTTTGTAGTTCTGCTCCGTTTTATTTCCTGGTATCATCTGGAAAGAACACTTCCTAGAAAGAGAAACAGGGTAAGCTATGAGTATTGAATATCACCTGGTGTAGGGAACCTGCTTTGGCAGGGGGGTTGGACTCGATGATCTCTGGAGGTCCCTCCCAACCCCTACAATTCTGTGATTCTGTGATATTGACAGTCATCTGTCTGTAAAAAGGAATGTGCTTCCCTGAAGTCACAGGAGAGATGAGACGAGCTGCTGGCAGTGCTGTGGGTGAGCCTGAGCTCTGCACTGCTGGGCACCTGTCCCAGCAATGCCCTGTGCCTGTCCCCAAAGCACCAATTCCAAGAGCCACCAAAGAAGTGATGCTTCAGGCAGGTCAGGAGCAGCAGGAGCCCACTGCCCAGAAATGACAGAGGCAGGGATCTGTGGAACCTGCAGTTCAGGATGCTCTCGAGGAGCTGGGGATGAGAGGTATGACAGAGCAGCCCCATCACCCATCTCGCTTCTTTTACACCTTTTTGGGGGGCTCATTTCCACTTCAGAATAAGTCTGTGTTTGTGACTGCTGCACCAGCCTTAAAAGATTCAACAGGAACAGTCTGAGCAGGACTGCTTGGTGAACAACAGTAATTTTCCTTACATTCTGACCATGCTGAGCTGAACATCCTTTGCACTGACATCAGCTGCCTGCCTGAAGAGGAACAGCTCTGTCCTTTATGGCACGTGGTCTCCCTACTTACTCAGCCCTGCTACTCCTCTGCAATCTCAGTCTCCTGGTGCACAACCACTTTGGTCACCGACATGTCCGGGTGCTGCTCCTTCGCTGCCTTTATGGCCTGAGCGAGGACCTGCAAGAGAGCACATCTCAGATAAGGGCCAGGGGGAACTCGAGGTAACCAGAGCCTATTTCTAACTCTGGGCAGAAAGAAAGGAAAGCAAAGCTGCCTGTCTGCAGTTTGGAAGGAAGCATGGTTTAAAGGCAAGGCAGGAATCAATGGTGCACCTTACACCAAGCAGAGAATTCTCATGTCCTGAAGGCTCCCGATCCCAACGGGAGCACAAGGTGCTGGAATCATTAGGCCTCCTTGGATCTGTTCACACTGCTTGGCCACGAGCCCCATGCAGAGCAAACGCACACGTTTCTGGGAGCTGGGCAGAGCACAGCTTTCAGTGGCACTGGGCTATTTGTTAAAGGCAAGATGGCTTTCTAAGAACACATCACATCTCCCAGCTGCCCCTGTTAGAAGACGGATAGGAGCAATTAAGCAAACTCTGTTTATTCTTCCAGCAAGTGTGACTAGCAAGTTGCAGCCGTTCTCAGACATCTGCTGTCAGAATTAACTAACCAGTTCTTGCTGTACAAGTGTTTTCCAGGCCCGTGATGGCTGCAACTAAAATTAAATTTAACGTATGATTCTCTGATGACAAAACCATCACTTCCAACACGCGCTGCAGGCCAGTGAGGCTGACTCATCAGAAAGGCTCTCATATAAAGCCTGTGAGATTTAATGCAGGCATCTCTTCTCCAGTGGTGCTGAGAGCTACGAAACAACTTCTGGCACTGCACTGCAGCAATCCCTCTTGTAAGGGTTGAGAAAATTAATGCAGATCATCCAGATACCACAGAAAACTTTCATTTTCTTGCAGATTTTCTTTAAATCACAAATTTCCAAGGCAATTCTATCGAAACCCTGCTGCCAATACCAGTTTCATAGCAGAATTAAGCTTTGCTGTCCCAGTTATGAAACTGCCTACTGTCAAAAAGGAACTTATTATTAAAATCAGCTTTAGAGCTTTATTTTTACCCAGAAAACAATCCGTAGGTTATTTTCTGTTTAAATTATCTTCAGAAAGACAGCATGGCTGCAGCCTGTGCCAATGCTGAGAAGCTCTTCTGATCTGCATCCAGATTCCTACCTGGTCATGGTCCACATCTGCATCTCCTGTGATGACAATCCTCTTCTCAATCCGTGTCTCTGAAATGCCACCTTTCACAGTCTGCCACAAAGGGAAAACTGCTGTTAGCTGAGAAGCAAAAAGGCATTCGAGTGCACTGGGGCTGCCTGCCTAAAGATGGCATCCAAAAATAGGATTACCAAGTACTGCTGTCATACCAGAGTATCAAAATCAAAGAGGAAAACTGCCACTGCTCATAGACAAACACTGTCAAGCATTCAGTGATCTTTTCTTGTAACTGTGCCAATGAAGAGCTTTGACTCACAGTGCATTTCTCTCCTGTTGTCTCACAGGACAGCTACAGCCAACATCCTGACCTGACTCCATGGAATACATCATCTATAGTTTTAATACAGCACAGGCAGTTCTGGGACCCCCAAGCTTTGTTTCAGGTGTCAGTCTCAATTTTTTTTTTGGAAAGGAACAGGAATGTAAGCTTTTTTTTTCTTTCTGCTATTCAATTCTGCCCGTCTCTTTATTGTGTTGTTGCTTTACTTTGTTGTTTCTGCTGTCACTGCTTCACCTCATTACCTTGGTGATCTGTGTGGTGGTGGTGCTGCTGGTGGTCTCTGATGTGATGGTCTGAGCAGTGAGCAGGATGCCAGGGTCCAAATCTCCATTGCCACCATCTGTCTGTGGGAGACAAAAACAAACACCATCAGCCTCTGTCAGCAGTGATGGAAACGGGCTCCACGTCCACAGAGCAGGCTGCAATCTGAGTACAAATCCCACCTCAGAAGCAGAAGCAGGAATTAAGAGATGAAGTGATCCCCTCTGCAGCTGGCTGAAGGACTCTCACCTGCACAACAAGGACTTTGTGGATCCAAGGAGGCTCAGCACAAAACCCCAGCACTGGAAACATACAGATCCATCACCTCAACACCTGTTTCAGTACTGAGGACTAAAGGAGAATCTTCAAATGTTTCCAAAAACGTTTATAGAGTTCTGAAGAGGCATAAACAGCAAAGAGAACTGGGGGAACCAAGCCAAGCCAGCCGCTGCACAAAAAGAAAGCCAGCTCTAGCCAAATGTGCACAGCCTGATCTGCATCCCAGAGCTGAAGATAAATTCTGTTTGCATGCACATCTTGAAAAGGAATTGCACATCTTGAGAAGGTAATTATTCTGCAGGGATGCTAAAAACGTTGCTACTCCAAAATCACTGCATGCCTGCAAGTATTGACCATAACCCGTGCTGTGGCTCAGCTGTTTTCAGAGGAAGGCAGGCAGCACCAGGTGGTGCTGCAGGATCACCCCAAGGAGCTGCATGTTAGGATGGGTTTAATTAAGCTCCTGGAAAATTAATCAGAACACACCTCACCTGTGCAGCTTCGTAGGTGATGGTCTTCGTCTCCGTGTGAACAATGGGAACTTCTTTTGTGGGAATTTCACTTTTGACAGCATTGGACACGTCTGAGATGGTGACTGTCTGTGTCTTCACTAGGGGTGGCTGTGAGACAGGTGTGAAAGAGCTCAGTCAATGCCCTTCAGCATTTCCACATCACAACTGTGGTCTGCAAATGTTCTGACACTGATCTGATAAAAGCTCTGTGGGAACCAAGGTCAGCCTGGAACCTCCACTGCTAAGCCTCTGCTCCAACACACTTCTCAACAAGTCAAAGCTCCATGTAAGGATTTAACAGACAGAAATCCTCCACATCCCCGGATACCATGGCACCAACTCAGCCCAACAAAGGCAGTGAGGCTCCAAGCAGTGTCACCACGCCATAAGGAACATCTCACCTGATTATGAACTTTCTAATTACTAGAAGCTCCCCGGCCAGCTGCCAGTAAGAGATGACCCTCGTTTACTGATACGATTAACACAACCCCTGGACAAATGGAGACTTGCTCACAGCTGAGAAGTTTCATCCTGACGACAAGTGGAACATTTCATTAAAAACCCTCATCTCATCCTAGGCCTTCGACTTTTATTAAATCAATGTCAGACAAAACAGAAACGTGGCATCTTGGAAGAGAAACGGGGAGGAAAGAAATCAGCTGTCCGCCACCTGATGATAATCATCCCAAAGGAGAGTTAGTTCAGCCCCGCAGTGTTTGCCCCCATCACTCCACGGCTGTTTGCAGTCCCAAATCTGACCGCTGCCACCAGTTGTTAGAGGGGAAGCAGACATCTATTGGAATGGAAGCAATTCACGTTCAGGAACACTGAAGCAGGCAAAAATGCCTCTCAAGGTGGGGAGGAGAAAAGGATGTCAGTGCCTACGTCTCATGGAAGCACGCTTGACAACGCATCCAATTCGCTGTGCTGCACTAAGGCTCAGCCTTGCAGTCCAGGAGATGGCAAAAACCTTAAGCCTAAACGCTCCTCTTTTGGGGATGTCAGAGGACACTTTCATTGCAGAAAGGCAAATGGCGTTGTGCTGAAGCACAGCTTGTGTTTAGTGCAGAGATCAATTGAGAGGGGCTGGCGCACACCGACTGCAGGACGCGGACCGGGTCCTCAGCGCCAAGACAGCGCCCAAGCCGAGGAAGCACAACTCCTCCTCGTGGGTCTGGAGCACCTGCTTGCTGCAGTGTTTGGGGTTCCACTCCCAAGCCAATCAGGGAGGTGAGGGGAGAGCAGGGCTACCTGGAAGCAGCGAATGACCACGGGCAGCTCGCTCGCACTGCTCGAGCGGTGACATTTGCCATGCAGCTCTGCCACCAAGCTGTCTTCGCCGGCCTCCGCCACCTCCGCTCTTCCCTGGGGCTGCAGCAGAGGGGCAGCGGGGACTGCGGCGGGCTCAGGCAGCTCAGAGCCAGCCACCAGCTCTTCCGCAGCTGCACACAGGCCCTGGGCACGGCTCAGCTCCTCCTCGTGGTCCTGGCTGCTGGCGGGGGATGCACCACGTGGAGGAGGCTCGCAGGTGAGCGGCACTGGGGTCTCGCTAAAAGCTACCGATTGCTTTGGGCCCTCCCATTCAAAGCCAGGGTTAACACTTTTCCACTTTGGCTCTTCAGCCACATCCTCTCTGCAGAGAAAGTCATTCATATTCTACAAAGAAAGGGATACACAAAAAGGCCAGAAAGAGAGAGAGAGAGAAAGAGGGTTAGGAAGAACAGGAAGACATGAAGCAAAACATTGGTCTCTTACAGCATCTCCATCAGTGAGTGCAGCAGCAGTGGATTCTGAACATTTAAGAGCTTGAAAACCTTTGAAATGTGATGGACTCACTGACACAGGCCTCCTGGTAGGTCAGCAATCCGTGCAATGATGGTGCAATGCATTAACATTAAAACAAAACTAAATGAAGAACCACCGCTTCGCACTCTTTGCCCAGTTTGGAAACAGGAGTAATTTCAATGTACCAAGTGGAGACCTCTGCACACAGACAAAACCACCAGCGACACTGCAGCCATGCATCAATTCTGCTTTTAACTCCTTGCCATATTTTACGCTGTTTAAATGTGCACATGGAGTTTAAGGGAATAAACCCAGAAGGATCATGCATCACCAGTGTGCAGAGCCCGTGCTTTGCTGGGCTCCTAGCACCTGGGAATGCACCTCCCTGCAACCAGTTTGCTGCTGGCCTCTGGGATAACAGAAACCTTTGCAATAGCTAAACCTCCTGCAGGTACAGCATCACTGGCATCGGTGATGGCGTGCAGTTGAGAAGAACAGAATAAAGCAATGCAGCCCTCCAAGGAGCAAGCAAGCACATCTATGGCACCTGGGATACTTCAGGAGACTGTCAGAAGCCAGAGAAGCTGGCTAAAGCTGGTGCTGCTCTGCCTTCCATTCAGCTCATTAGCAAGTTCCCAACTAGGTCTTCTCTCCAGGAGCCCTCTAGCCAGCAGGAAAGCAACAGTGACAAAAAGAGAAGAGTTACAACATGAGCAAAACAGAGCTGAAGCACAAATGGGCTGTTTTTCCAAATGCCCAAGAGATTATACACACTTATGCTTAGGAGAGCATCATCAGTGCCAGCGATGGCTGCAACCCAGCCATGCCCCAGAAATGGTGTTTCTCTTGTGGACATGCTAGGATGCCTTTGAGGAAGGGCAGAATAACCTGCAAGTACAATTTGAGACATGAGCCTCATTGAGCATCAGGCAACAAGGAGAAAAAAAGAATGAGATGCCACTGAAATCAATGCTACTGCTACTTCTTACCCATAACTGACAGCCTCACAGATGACTTCTGTAAGCTATAAGAACAGGCACATATCTCTATATCCAACAACAGTGATTACATCTTCATTCAAGTGTGGCTCGTCCACTGTTGTCACCTTTAATTCTAATTTTGGTGATGGCATGGAGAAGAACAGAAAGCATTGCATCACCTTTTGTTATGAAGACTCTGGGCAACCAACAAACTGTAACTTGCACTTAAAAGTGACGTCTGAAGGCCGTGGGTTATTTGGTACAATGCATCTGTGATCCATCAGAAGCTTTCAGCCTGACTGACATCATCTAATGGCACAGCTCAGGAGTATTTTAAGAAGCAAAACTGCTTCGTGTAGAACAAATAGAAGCTTATTTTAGTAGAACTCCCAGAAAGGACTCTTCTCCCATTCCTCTTGGGTGTTTTTCAGTGCCCAGCTTCTTTATGGAACAGACAGATTACCTGTAAGATTCTGTCCATTCCCATTTCCAGCCTCTTGGGCTTCTGTTAAGTTCTTGGGTTACTGCTTAGGGAAATCCACTTAACAGGAGAGAAGTGATGGTGATCAGTGCTGTGATGGGCAGATCAGGCTGCATAAATGTGGAAGTGCTGTTTCTGATTACAAACCTCTTCTGTATGTGCTTTTCCAGAAGGCACAGATCACAGAATCATTTGAGTTGAAGGGGATCTTTAAAGGCCCCATCCTCATGCTGTGTAACAGAAGATATTATACTGCAATGCTTCACAAAACAGAATACAATATTAGGTTAGCAGATTTGAATGCTAATTACTTAATCTTGCTTTAAAACCTGGATTCATACGCTGACATCCTAATTTTACATTTCAAAGCTTGCAAAATAATCACAGCATCTTGAGATGATGCAGTGCATCTTCTGGATTTTAATGGGAAGTGCCTTAGAAGCAAGATTCCTTCCATAGCAGCCAGGGCACCCGGTCAGCCAAAAGGAGGAATGTAATCCACAGTTAAAACAAAGCAGATCAAGCAGCCACACAAACACAGACCGACTGAAGAGACAAGCAGCTGCACACAACAAGCACAACTCCACCGCTCCCTTTCACATCCAGAAAAACCATTTGCATTTTAGAAGCATCTCGTGTAGTGAAAGCACAGGAGGGCAGAAAAGCTGCAATGATCTGCACGGTGTGGCCACACACATCTGCAACAGAGCACAGCGCAGCTACAGACATGCAGACTGAAATCCTGATAAGATCAACCCAACAGAAGTTCTTTTATTCTTGCCTTCCTGCGCCATCAAGAAGCCAGGCTAATTAGGAGCTCTCTCTTTCCACACATAATTATCTATTTGAGCACAATTTTTTCCAATCTGACGATGTTTGTTCCTGTGTTTATAAATGAAGTTTGCATGTAGGCAAGAAAACATTACCTTCATACCAAACCAAACCCTGCAATCCACCTCACTCGGAATTTGGCCATCTGTTACACATTCTGATCTTATCATGATTTTGCTTCACTTTGCAAATGCAAAAGCATTCCTACTTTGAGGGCTCTGATTTACCCGTTCTCATGGAGCCCCAGACTGCTCCAACCCCACAGACTGCTCCAACCCCGCTACATGGAGTGCTTGCAGCCATGCACAGCATAAAGAAGACACAAGGAGGGATGCAGTGCCCCAGAAGAAACAAATTCAGGCACACACGGACGCAGCTGAAACGTCACCCTGCTGAATACCAGACCTCTGCACACCCGACGTTGGCAGAAACGGAGGACAGAGACGATTCTGAAAGCCGCAGTGTAAGAAGTGACACAGAGTAACTCAGACTGGGGATAAATTAATAACAGGCTTTGACACCAGAGGCAGAAAGGATTATTTCTGAAGTGTTCTTCTTGCCTGTGTTTGTCAGAGGACCTGCAGTTCTGGCTCAGGACACAACCACGTCCTTGCACTGCCTGGGATAAGCACTCTTTGCTGTCTGCACCTTTCCTCTACTGGAAAACACTCCTGCATGAAGAAACAATTTAGCAGTGTCTGCTAACTCCCCATAGCAACATTTCATGCTCTCAGTCCCAGTGCCTATTTCCCATCACCTCCCTGCTCACCCTGGCACTGCAGCAGTTACCAGGTGCTTGTTATTAGGTTATCCCCAAGCAGATGCACGCAGGCCACTGGTGTGGGTGATGGCTACAGAGGCACGAGCAGATAATGGTGCTTTTGCAGAGAACCACACTCACCAGGAAGAACTCCCAGATCAAATGGTGAATGGTCAATCCCACAGCTGTCAAAGCACTATGAGTAAACAGTATTAAGCAGAAAACAAGACATCCTTCTCTTACAATACCTCCTGCATCTTATAGAGCTGCTTTCCTTAAAGACAGAACGTAGAAAGTTTAGAAGCTGTTCAGAAAAGCTTGGCACGTGAAAGTGACTGCCATTCCCTATGGATTTCAGTTTTTGGACCACTGTTTTTTTCTGCCATTGCTGTGATCACAATGCCCTGGTCAGACAACAGAAAGGGGAAAGAGAATTTGACCCAAGTGAAAGGCAGAGCAAGAAAATACACAGCATGCTTTAAGCTGAAGAAAAAGATCAAATTGCTGCTGTGAAGCAGAATCCCAAGGTATTACCAGACACACAGCAGCCACTTCCAAAGCACTGCATCAACCCTGCAACGTGAAACAAGCCTGAGATCAGCACTGCGTTACCAATCTCAGGCTGCTGAGGGAGACGGTTCCAAAAGCATTTCCTCCCCCCACATTTTGCTCCCCCCATCTCCTTCAGGCTCCAGCTCCTCTTCACTGCTGTACATTTCTTATTTCAAGTCTCCTCTGCAGCAAAACAAAAAAAAAAAGCCACATGTGGCAATACAAACACTGCATTAGATTCAGTTTAGCAGCAGCAGAAGACAGAAGGTGGATACTGTCAGGGTTTATGACCAACACATATCAGCTCTGCTGCACTTTGCCTGCTCCATTTGCTGTGCCCAGGCCCTGTTCTGACACTGGGCCCACTGACAGAGCACAAGCCAAATTTCTCCAAAAGGAAATAACCTCACAGAGCACAAGCTGGGAGGCAACGTTAAAATGACTCTGCGTAACCTCTGGCCATGGACACAGCTGGAAGCCAAGTGAAGGCTCACACTGCCAAGCAGAACGATGCTGGTTCATTACAAATGTGGCTGCTTCACTTACAGAAAAAGAAGGGAACATTTTTCTCCTCAAATTAACACAACATCAGCAGAAAGACTCCCAGAGATGCACTGTGCCAGCCCAGGGAGTCCACAGCCACAGCAATGGTGCAACACAATCCTCATCTCAGAGCAGAGCAGTGAAGGTGCTGGAGGGGCAGAGCAGTGACACACGACCTGTGATGCTTCTGCACTCCAAAGGTTTCCAGCAAACGACTGGACCTATCTTTCAGACTCAGAAGTGAGAAGTTTTGGAGGCACATTAAGTATTTTCAAGAGGGCTGAAGCTTGTGGCTCCTCTCCAAACAAAGTTATTCTGCATCATGCTGGATTTAACCCCAAATAAAATTACTCTGGCCACTCTGCAAGCATGCATAGCTGGCAGCAGCAGCCCTCGTGCCCCTCTGCACAGCAGCATGAAGCTGCACCAGATGTGTGCAGCTGCAACCAGGCACAGCTCATGGACCCACACCTGGATCCCACTGCATGAGCTTGCTTGGTGCAGGGGCTGCTGGTGCTTGGCAATAGTGAGGGTTACCCCAGGAGTCTCAGCACAGGTCATAGGCCTTTTGGTGTTAATAAGCAGCGGAAAGTAGAATCTGATTTGCAATAATATTTATTAATGATAAATGTACATATTTACAAAGAAAAATCTGAGAAAAAATACAAAGCCAAAAAAGTGTTCCAAAAGAGAGCATTGTAGTTAAAAAGAAAGTAATCTCAGT